CGGTCGATAATTCTGTTACAGTCTCAATATGGACAGCCTTCGTAGCAAAACATACGAATAACGCCATGTACGCCTTGTATTCTCTTGCCTTTCGTCGGCGGCTTTCCCGGACTATAAACGGGCCTCCATAATCTATGCCGACGTGGCAAAATGGGCGACTTGGTGTAATCCTTGAAGTGGGGAGATCCGCCATGATAGGTTGTGGATGAACGGCAGCCCATTTGGTGCATGTGATACATCGGTGAATAACTTTACGAATTTCGTTTCGAGCCGAAGTAATCCAGAATACTCGAGAAACTACGGATCCCAGCGCACGTGGTCCTGCGTGTAAATAACAGCGATGATAGTGTTGTAAGATCAGACACGCTATATGTGACCCTTTGGGCACCAACATGGGAAATTTGGCATGTTCACTCAAATTTGAATTTCGTAGTCGACCTCCCACCCGAATGATACCACACTCATCAAGGTACGGCTTCAATTTTCGGAAGGAATTAGGAATGTTACTCGGGGGGCTATCATGTAACCTTTTCACCCATGTCCCAAAGTATTGGCGTTGGGTCATGTATACTAGCGTGTCTCGGGCTTTCTGCAACTCTGACCTATGAATAGGTCCGTTGCCTGTCTTGGATTTCTTCGTTTTAGCAATAAAACGCCATACTAATGCAAACACCCGTTGCGCAAACGATAGGGACGAGTATCGGGAGATAATTCCCGCGAAGTCGCCTGTTGTATTGACTAGTGAGACCAGGGGACCGTGTGACTTTAAATCAGGCAATTCATCTGGAGGTATGGGGATAAACTGACTATCTGTTGGTTCCAGATCCGTTAACAGATTAGGCCCGTTCCAATAAAGCGTATACTGCGCTAATTGTGACGCTAATATCCCCCTAGAAACACAGTCCGCTGGATTGTCTTCGGATGGTACATGATTCCATTGACAATCGGGAAGTAATTGCCGGATTTTAGCGATTCGATTGGTCACAAATATTTTATAATTAATTTGAGGTGATACCAACCAAGATAAGACGATCGATGAGTCGGTCCAGGAATACATCTTGTCAATATTTACCTGGGGTTCCAACGCGGTTTTCAAGCGATCCATCCACTTGGCCAATAACAGTGCACCGCATAACTCTAAGCGGGGCGTAGTCATGATCTTGACCGGGGCTACCTTCGACTTTGCTCCTAAGAGATATATATTAATGGTACTACGGGTATATACTCGTATGTAGACCACCGCCGCATAGCCTTTATTCGATGCGTCACAGAATCCGCACAAATGTATTTCGGTAGCCGAGACAATGTCAATATGTCTAGGCAACGTGGATTGGGACACGGCAGGGAGATCTTCCAAGTACGCCCGCCACTGGTTTAGTAGATCAGGTGGTAATTCACTATCCCAATGAAGTCCTAACTTCCATAATCGCTGCAAAAAGTCTTTGGCCCAAAAGGTGACTGGTGCCAGCATACCAATCGGGTCATATAACCTGGCAATTACGGACAAAACTCCTCGTTTGGTATATACGCCTAGTTCTGGTGACACATGATATCCAATCACGTCATGAACGGGATCCCAATGTGATCCAAGGACTCGTACATATGCGTCTTCAGAATTTTCAAACGGTATGGTAGTTTCCGAGCGTGAGGATGGATCTATCCGGGCTAATACTTCATCACAATTGCTAGTCCACTTCTTCAGCTCGAACCCATGTTTGGCCAGCACGGCCATTAAATCTCTTTGTAAATCTAACACACCATCGAGAACATCATCACCCGCACAAACATCATCTACATAAGTATTATGGAACAACGCTTCATGTACCTTTGGATGTTTGGCACGACACGACTCGGCCACCCGATGTAACACTTTGATGGCTAAGTATGGAGCAGGTCCGGTCCCATAAGTTACGGTGTTGAGTTCATACTCAATCAGTTCCTCAGCAGGGGACGGTCGCCACAGAATATGCTGAAACGACCGGTGTTCTGGTCGAATGAGTATTTGCCGATACATCTTGCAAATATCGGCCACGAAAACAAATCTCGGAAAACGAAACCTTAACAGAATATCCGTGATGTCATTCTGGAGTTTCGGACCCGTCAAAAGTACATCATTCAATGAGTGTCCACCTGAGGATCGGGAAGACGCGTCGAATACTACACGGATCTTCAATTTCCCATTTTCATCCTTGGTGACGGCATGATGTGGAATGATGTAATCGCCTGGAGTGTTAGCTACTTGCATATGCCCTAACCTGATATACTCAGCCATAAAATCACGGTACGCCTCATACAAGGTAGGATTTAAAATTAATCTTCGTTCTAAATTTAAGAATCGCTTTTGGGCTATGTCCCTTGTCCCTTTTAACATTTCTTGCGGATTAGCGTCTCGAAACGGCAACGGAACTATATACCTACCGGATCGATCTATCATAGTGTGTTCGAAGAATAACTTTTCACAAAATCCGTCTTCAGTAGTTTCACTTGGTGCGTTCGTTGGTTCATCAACTTCCCAGAATTTCCGAACCATATCCTCTAATGACGTTGCCAAAGAAACAACAACAGCTTGATGATAGGAAGTTGCGGCAGGATATACCGGACCAATGAGTATCCATCCAAATATAGAACTATACGCCGTGGGATTACCTTCTTCAGAATACTGCTTTCCATCGAACACATGATGATACAAATCCGCGCCTAACAACAAATCGATTGTCGCTGGAATGTCAAACTTGGGGTCGGCCAGCGCTAAATGAGCATATGAACTCTTGATGGATGCTGGAAGTGGTGACGTCGGTAAATTTACAGTTATGGTTGGTAACACCCATGTGTTGACCTCGATTTCGGTATTACTGTCGAACCTAGGTGTAATGGTACACGAAGTTAAACCTTTCACTGTGGGTAGCGTAACACCGGCTAATCCTGACACTGGGACCGTCCATTTTTTAATAGTTAATCCGAGGTGGTGGGCGCACGATTCGGTTATAGCACTAATTTGCGACCCTGAGTCAACTAAAATTCGTACAACCACGGTTTGACCGAACCGATCACGGGTGTGAGCCATGGCTGTTCCCAAAACTACCGTGGATGGACCCATTTTTCCAACATGAGATACGGCACCGGTCGATACAGAGCTAGATGATGCCCCACGATTCATACCACCTGGTGCCGAGCCCGAACTCCCACCATTGTCTGATGGTGGTCTGACCCTAGATTTTTGGAGATGTAATAAACTGTGATGTGACCCCTTACATGTAGCACAAAAAACGTCACTGGTACAAGCTGATGATACATGAGTAGCACTCAAACATCGGAAACACCGACGGAAACTAGTTATCATCTTAAACCGCTTCGGGGGTTGCATAGATAGAAACTCTGAGCATACTTGTACATCATGAGGTGCTTTACAAATCGGACATTTGGGGTTTGCATCGCCCTGTGCTGATACCATCATCAACTTACCAGTGGGCTTGTCATTGAACCTACCGTTTGATTTGTCTTTAGGCATGTGCTTACCTGCAGCACCATCAATATTTTCCAAGATTTTTATACGACATCGAACGAACTTTACCAAATCTTCAATACCAGGAAAAGTGTTGGAGTTATCCTTTTCAAATAATTCCCGAGTACCACGTGGAAGGTTTTTATTTGCTAATACAAACATAATAAAACTAGACACATCTTCGATGTCGAACATTTTCAACGATTGCAAACTTTCGTCAAAAACATGGAGGAACGCTGATAACCCTGGAACGGTTTCAAATTCCATTCGGCGAAAGCTTAGAAGTCCGTCTACTAATGTCGAGGCAGATAGACGAGGATTATCGAACTGATCAATCAACTTTCGCCACACAATTGGATAATTCATATCTGTCATTTTCAACGAGTTAACCACTGTGGCAGCCCTGTCAGTAACACAACCTGCTAATAAGTGGAACTTTTCGATTGGGGATAAGTCGGGATCTGAATCGACTAACGCAACGAACTTGTCACGGAAGGTTGGCCACTGTAGAATATCCCCACTAAATGACGGTAACTTTATTTTTGGTAAATGGAGGTTGGTACGAACATTTTGTACAGGTTGAGGTTCAACGGTCATTTCTTGTGCCGTGGCATGAATGAAATAATATTGATTTTTAACCTCCCGAATCAATGGAGCGTGTGTATGTACATATTCGCTGTCCCGACCCGCGTCCAACAACGCGTTCATAATTGTGTCTTGTTCTACCGTAATATCTGCCATAAATTGTTCAATGTCAGCCTTGCGAGCAAAAAATAACGCTTTACACGATATATCACCCTTTGCCTTTACCGCTAGCTTATGTAAATCATTCATATCTTGGATAGCACCATCCCGACGCATGATACACCGTTTTAGTAACCGCTCCGACCGTTCACTATCACTAAGGGGGTCGGGAGCCATGATATATTATAAGCAATAGAAAACAAAATTAACCTATAGAGTATGAACAAAAAAAAATACAATCTATGCGCCAGGTGATCAAACAAAAAACATCGTATACCACAAACCACTACAATGAATATATAACTGATTTTTGTTAATAATTATAATTTAAATGATTAACAAAAAAGGAATTCCTTACTTATAAATTATTATATATGTTTTATTTAATTATTTTTTATTCACAACGCACTATCACCAGGGTGACGGTTCTGTTCAGGAGAATTTTTTGCGTCGAATATAACATGTGTAGGAACAAAAAAAATGCAAAATTAAAAATCTACTGGACAAGACGAGTCAGGTGACGGGGAGGTGATACACAAATATGTAATTATATTTGTTATTTTTATTCATTGAAGGGGTACAATTTTTAACGAATAAATTTTGAACACCATATACTGAATATTAAATAACGAATTGAACAGAGTTTGAGTCATAAAGGGTTGGCATACATTTAACGGGAAACGAAGTGCACGGGATCAGCTAGTATTTAATATGAATAATAAAGATTATTTCTTATGATAACTTTGAAAATTTTCTAATTTTCTAATTTCTTTTTTTCTTTTTGGCCTTTCCAGCTATAGTCAGATGCAAATGTGTCAGTAAATATTATTTTCAGTAAGTTGTTAGTTACTTTGGAAATTGATTTACCTTCAGAAGCAAACATAAATGCGGATACCTGTTATACATATTATATATAAAAAAAACTAACACTATTTACTACAATAATATACTTATAAAGAAAAGTTATATACCAATTTATCATTATATAATGGGTCATAAGTTGTAAGCTTTGATTCTATGGCCAAAAGCTTTTCTTCGTCATTATTTGGGAATGTTGATAATATATCATCAGCTTTTTCTTGATTGAATGTATTATTTGTAAGTGTTGAAGCCTCTTTATTTTTAATGAATGAAGTCAATTCAAGTTTTAAGTAATTCATGTTTGATTTGAACTTCAGAAAGTCAGCTGTAATTTTTAAAACATTTAAGTAATTAATTTCATGTATGCTAGTACAAACTTAGTGTGAATAACATATAGATTTATTAACACACGTAGTTGAAATAATAATTATTATTTTGTTGTTTTTTTATTATTACCAGATAGTCGACAAAGTTGATGTCCCAACGATACCAACAGTTGATACTTTTCATCTTTATTTGTATTGTTATTTTGAGGTTCAAATGAACAATAATGATTATTTTTTTTATTTAATTTGCACTTATTCTCAGTAATACCATCACTTATGAGAACTGAATGGTCTAAAATTAAATCAAACAATAATTAAATATAATATACAAATAAATGCAGCTCATATCAATAATAAATATATATTTGTTAAATTATTAACTTTAATTACAAAATTAGCAAAAATTATTAAGTTGGTTTATTAAATTGGTGATTTATTTAATCTAACATGATTTTAAGTCGTTATTACAATTTTTTTTTTTTTAATATCATTTAAAATTATACATTTTATTCTATAATAATTTTTAAATTGTATTCCAAGCCAAAATGAATATAGTTTCTAGGTTCCACAGCCTTCTTTAATAAAGGCATATTTGTTTTTAATAATGTTCTAGCGTCTGTTGGAAGTTCATTATTTAAAGAGTTAACATTATTTTTCAATCTCGTTAATAGATCAGTAACTGCAGTTGCAGTTACATTGTGTTGAATTGCCCATGACCGAAGAAAATTTTTTTTACCCATGGATGATTTTTCAGTATTAGAAATATCAGTATTTAAAGTTAGAAGTGCAATCAAATTGTTAACTGTCGGTAAATTGTTTTCTTTAGATGTATCATTATTACTTGATGTTGAATTAAAAACAAAATTTTCAATTTCATTGGATTCGGTTTAACTACAGTTATTTGTATTACATGATTTATCACTCTGTGTCAGTTGATTCAACAATATAATTAGAATGACCGATATATGGTGATGATTTATAAACTGGATCAGTTGAGGAAGAAGAAAAACTATTATCTGAATAATTAGAAGTTGAATCAACATTGATGTGTCTTCTTTTAGATCGCTCGGATAATTGATGAAAATAAGGACGTTTTCTGTTCATTTTCTAAAATAATGTAGAATAGTTATATTTTCGGGGCTATATTTGTAATTATTGGGGTAGTAAATTATGTGCTTACATCAAACCTAATATAATCTACATTCTACAATACCTACATATAAAAGCCGTAAATAGTATATAGAGGTATAGGTATTCAATCAAAGTCAATATTAAAAAGTGAAACTAAATTATAATAATTAAAACACCTAGGTACTATCTTTAAACATACTATTTAAATTAATCACATTTAGGTAATATTAGTAAAGAAGCATAGTAGTATAAAATACGCATAATTAAAAACTAAGACCGGAATTACTTATAGGTATATGCACCAAAATTATATAAATTATTTAACTGGATGATGCAAATATACTTGGCAAAAGTAATTTAATATACACCAACAATGATACAATATAACACTTTCTATCTGTTAGGTAAATAACATTTTATAATTTCTAGATAATAATTATCTTGTAGTGTTATAAAATTAAATTATATAGGTACCTGATTAAATACTTTAAATCCAACAAGTAAATCACATTCATATTACCTAGAGTTGTTGATTTTGAGCTTTACAACCAAATTAAAAGTAAATAAATATAGACATTATAGTTGTATTATAAAAATAATAGTTAAGACATTTCAGTAACCTAACCTACCTGCTATAATTATTATAGTTAGCATAAAAATGATAGACCTAATAATTTAACGATATCATATTTTTATTTGTAGACAGCACTAAAGGCAGCTTTTAGATTTCACCAAAAATATATGTATGTATCTACTACCTACCACGCAAATTGGTAATTTATTATTAGAGTTAGGATGTTGGTGACCTAAAAAACACACAACAATGCCCTAAAAAAAATGCAAAAAAGCCCTAAAAAAAGTGCAAAAGTGCCTTAAAAATTATCTAAAATACTAATTAAGTAAGTGAAAAAACTTATTTATAAATAATAATTTTTATTAGAGATATGGGTATAATAATGGGTGTAATAGTAGAAGCATTTAAATAATTTATAAATAAATTTCAATATCAAAAATAAATTAAAAAGTAAAATATAAATAAAAAAAAAATTATATTAAAAATAATTTCATTATTAGTGTTAGGATGTTGATGTTATAATAATATTCATATTGCATTGTTGCACTGTACAATTAATATGTGTCGGATGTTATCAAACAAAAGACGACGACGTCAATCAGTTAATAAATATTTGTATGATGAAAACATTTTCTCGACATCAACGGACGTTATGGGTGCATACTTGAAGTAGGTCATGTCATCAGTAGTTAAATCTCCTGGAATGTCTTCTCCTCTTGCACCTTTGCCATCTATATAACCGTAACTACATAACTGTGTAAGCGGCTACTTACAGACGATTTTGCTTTTGGCATGTTTAAAATCGTTAAAATATAAAATTTGAAAAATATCTGTTAAATGGTGACGGCGAATGCGAAACACTACTGACAATAGTCCTTTAACTGCAATTATAAGCACGTCAATCAATAGGTCTGTGGCGCGCGTAGGTTTAAGAATGTTACACAACTTACGCGGCCAACATACGAAAGGTTCGAAATAAATAAACTCGGAGACGATTTAAGCAGATGAATATTTATTTACAATCGGACATGAAATTTATGCGTGCGACGAAGCCAGTGGCAAAGAGATGTCGGCAGTGCTCGGAACGGCGTCGTGTGCGTCGGTTGACGGTTGCCGAGCGAGAGAGCGTTGGCGGCCGCCCGACACTCCGCGGTCGCGAACGACACGGCGGGCCGAGCGGTGTTGCCAACGCAGGGAGCGCGACCGACATCGGGAGGGAGTATGTGGTGAAGGCACTGGTTCGTCACAGGTTTAATGTCTATGTCAATTTTATCTTGTTTATCGGATTTATTCCATACATTTATAAATATAATACTCGATAAGCGTGTATGATCGGCGTATGTCTGAAAGAGCACTCGTTTCATCAATATATAACGCTCAAAGAGTAAATCTTATCGGAACGCGATAAATGTAATCACAAAAAAAACCCCACAATAATAATATTAAAACTATTTTTACTTATAGTCCAAATCCAAAGTTAGATTTTAAATAAATTAAATTTGTTTCCAAACTTGGGTGTAACATTTGCCCTAAAATCTATAATTTGTGAAAAATATACCACATTGTATAAAAAGTACAAAAAATGACCTAAAAGAAGAAAAAATTACTTAAAAATTTTGAAAAATGACGTTGAAAAACAAAAAATTTAATTTATAGCGAAAAATGCAAAAAAAAGCAAAATAAAATTAGAATATTCTGCATGAAGGGGGCATAAAACTAATTTTTAGCTAGGATAGCATTGTACAGAATAAAAGGAAAAAAAATGCAAATGTCATCAACATCCTAACCCTATTTATTATTAAGAAATCGTTACGTTTAAATATTAATTGTTAACATTTATTTTATTAAGCGTCCCATGTGTGCATCTAATTTATTCGATAATTACTATTTTATTAAAAATCAAACTAAATACTTAACCGTTTTTGTTGTGAAAAGTGTTAAAAAAACTAGAAATTCAAGTGCTCTTTTTTTTAACAAAAAAATCGCTGCCGTCTGGGGCCCAAAACCCCATGACAAGACTTTCTGTAAGTATTTTAATTATCCAAACCCATATAATGTATAACAAACCGTCTTCCCAGCCGCGTATCTTCACTTACGTAACAACACCTAATTAAAATGAACTCTAAATGTAAGACTCAGTGGCGTATTTAGGTTTTTGTCATGGGGGGGATATGACTTTTTACCGTAATTACTAACTTGAGGGGGACTACGCCTAAATAATGATAATGATAAGACAATTGTGATAACATGCATCGAAACGACAGAGCGCCATTATACGAATGTGGCGGCGCAGCCGTCACATGATTTCTTCCCGGACGACGCGAGCACTGTTAGGCGTTGGTCACCCCCCTCCAAACCAGCGATCGGTTTCGCCCGGGGCCTACGGCGTAACCGCCGCGCGGAACGACTCTCTTTGTCCGCGACCTCGCGATAGTAAACACGCTCGTACGCACCTCGCTCCAATCGACACGCACCCACACGGCAAACCAAAAACCTCGTGACCAACGTTATTTCGCTCGACGCGTCGTTAATCATACATCGTACATTCTGTAACTAATAAATATTATTCTCGTCTCATTCCTAATAAAAATACAATTGTAATAAACCAATTCGTTGTTCGTTAATATGGAGGCAGTCGGTACATAGACGACGCCGACACCTCCACACGATAATACGGACCGCATAGACCATATGATACCTACTAGAGTATGACCCGGTATAATCACTGAACACGGACCAGTGACCAGCGATACCAATGAGAATACTGTACAATAATATAATATTTTAATTCTTGCAAATGTAATCAATTATTGATAAAAAAAAAAAAAAAAATCATATTATTTTAAATAATAATCGTCAAATTATAACGAGTAACGACTATAATTAATTGTGTGTATACAGTCTATGGGGAGGGGGGAATTGATCCCCATGACCCCCCCCCCCCCCGTAGATACGCCACTGGTAAGACTATCTCCCAATTAAAATTTTCAACCAAAACAACGTACAAAAGATAAAGAATAACACCCAAATAAGAGAGGCTGTTACGAACGATGTTTTCAATTTTGAACAGACTGAGGTCTCTCCCAAATCTCACAAACGTTTAAATTCTGATAAACAAAGTCAGTTATCAAAAACAATTAAAACCATAACTAACACGCAATTTTCCTCTCATAATAAATTCAGTATCCTATCACAAAATGAAGTCACGGATATGGAAACTAATGAAGCAAACGAAATCGTCTCTAAATTCCCTCCACCAATATTTATT